CGTCATCCAATGCTAGTATCATTTAATATTAGAGAAGAAAAAATGAAAAAATGGTGTAAAAACTGAACTGAAAAAGAAGTGATAGAAAATAGCCTTGAGTTCTCGTAGGCGATACAACTGGGGAGGCGTCAGAACTGCCTCTTAGGAGGGCTCCAGCGCCCTCGTTACTTATTGTGAAACCACGGAAATGGACAGTCTTGGAGAAGGCGGACCAGAATGCATACAAGGAAGGACGCCTACAAATTCGTTAAAAGGAACGGTCTGCGATGACCTATGAAAATGCAAGAGGTTATGTGGGAAGGTAGTGCGGTCCGGAGTGGACAACCCTGTGCCAGTTTCGCGGCGGAAAGTTGTACAGTAAAGGAGTTGAGGCACAAAATTGGCTGCAAAAGGTGCTTCAGTGGTACATCCCTTTTTCCAGTGACTCCGCCTTCCAGCCAAAAGTAATGCTCCCGGGCAAGTATCATGGAGTGGATGCATTCAATGTCTCTTGTAGAGTCATAGGGTTCATTACTGGGAATCAGCCGACGGGAATTGTCCCAGCGCGCGGTCTTTTCGGTCTTTTACCTCTACAGTTGTTTGAGGCTAGAGGAGGCCTGACAAATGTTCCCTTTGGCATTTTCTCTTCATAGGCGGTTCACTTGGCAAATTTTCTTCCACATTTCTGCAACATCACCTAGGCTTTTTATCGCGGACCGTGCCTTTAAGAGAGCCCAACTTCAGCTACCTTCTTACATATTTCTACTACTAACTTACTGAAAAGCGGAAGAAACATGCCACCTGCCCTAGATAGCCTAGTTTCGATCCCAGTTTGTACGTGCCCAGTGAGCTACCATCTTCAACAGAACGCCTCATCAGCACAGCTGGTTTCCCCGATAAGAGCACTACTGACGATTTTCATGCTTTTCGTCCTGCAGCACCGTTTTTCACTGAAAGGCGGGCCTTGAAGGCGGAGTCTGGAGGCGGAGTCACTGGAAAAAGGAGGCGTCACTGAACCTATATTGCGCTATAGCGCCCCTCCCTTACAATTTTTTGCCGCAAAACCGGTACAAGGTTGTTCGTCGCGGACCACACTACCCTCCGACGCCATATTTTCAACTTCTATACCTGATCGCGGACCGAGCCTTTAATGGCAGTGGTAGTGACGTGACAGGTACACAACAATTCATTTACAATATCTTCCAGATGCTTGAACTTGCTTTCTTCTCGTAAGGATTATATTGTAATAATAATAATAAATAGTAGTACCTGGTCCTTCGCCTCATGGTTGTCACTCTTGTCGACGTGGGCTAAATTTTTCATATAATAGATGGCTATTATACAGCCAATAGTAGCCAAGATGTACTGTAACAAAATTCAGTTAATCTGTATATTTATAAACAAAAACGACACGTTTCTTGAGAAGAGGACACTTTCTTTCAGGAACTCAGTACCTGTACAATATCGGTTATTGCGTATGCAAATGCTGCATTAGTGCTCTCCCCAAGAATGGAATAACCGTAGTATATGAGCATTGATGAGAAGGTTCCTATCAGAAAAAGTAAGCCCAAGGAATAATCCTGAAAGCTGAGTTGTCATGTAATACTTCATATTATCGAATGTATTGGGCTAGCCCATAAATGATGCCATTTTAAGTTGAAAATTTGTGTGAATAGTGAGACGTTTTTTATGCGTTTCAAACCGTTCCATGAGGAGCGCAGTGCAAGGCACCATGCTTGTGCTGAATGTGTTTTACGAAAGTTGTTCCCTGCTGGTTTTCAGGCCACTAAAGCGGGTCGCCATTATGACATCATTGATAATTTTTTGATGGTGACTCATTTTCACATTCAGAAGAGGTTATGAAGAAGTTAAAGCTG